CGCAAGGGAAAAGCAGTGAATATCTCGGTCTGTTCATCGAGGAAGAAGGATAAACACCGCACCAGCAAATGTGGTCGCGGCACAACATCAGTGTCTCTTCCATCCGCGGTTTTGCAAAGACTGGCAGTCAAGAGCGCACAAACTAAATTGTCAAATCCTTCGCTAGAACACTTGATGGGTATTTTTTTCAAAGCCTCTCAACAGGATTATGCTAAATCTCTCTTGGAGTTTTATCGGCAACAACCTCAGATCCGTTGGGACGAGCTCGGGCAGATACAAGCACCATTTTCGGGGTTGAATATACTCGATGTTATTAAGTATATGTCATCTTCATCGACCGCGTTTTCTCTCGGAGAAAAGGAATTGCTAAGATTATTACACAACTTTGCCCCCATACCCCTTGAGTATGTGCGTAATCCAACTGCCCGACGATTTCTCGCGGGAGGGACACGTAAAGCAGGCAGGAACATGAAATTAGCACCTGCACAGAAAAAGATGCGTTGGAACCCTTATTAACGATCCAGGATAAAAACGAAGAGCCTTTTCGATACATGTACCAGTCGAGGGATATCGAGTGTACAAGCATGAGCGACGAATTTATTAACGCCGCATCTTCGCGGGACAGCGACAGCACCAACAGTGTGACCAATGCATGCGGAGGCGATGCATCTTCGCGATCGCTCGCGGTTGAACTGCGAAAGGAGGTGGTGAGGTTTTACCGCGCGCAGTACAAACACGACATCATCTCATCGTTGGTGGAGACATATCAAGCCTTTCTAGCCAATCAACCGGAACAAGCTTATCAACAAGAAGCCGACGAAGCAGTTGAAGATCTGACCCATGCATCGCAGGAAGAAACAATTCGCACCATCACCAAATATCGCAAACTTGCTAGTCTATACAATAGACAAAGCATTGGTTTTGAAATGGGACAACGACTGGTGACCAGGTTGCGCAGGTAAAAAACATGTGCGAACAGGCAGAGGGGGGTAGGGGACAGAGACTGCGGTATAAAGAGAGGTCGGAGACACAGTGAGGGTGCACAGAACACCTGGCCATCTCAGTAGCAACAGCAGCGGGAGCAGCAGCAGCAGCAAGGTGTACACGAAATGAATCCGAGGACGAACATGGATGGCGAACGCCCGTCGAAGATGGAAGAGAAAATACGCAACATTCTGGACGCCCACCCCGTGACATCGGCAGACACATACAACGCAGGTGAACATCCTCCCGACTTTCTATATCCTCTCACTTTTCGCGAAGGCAGCGTTCTCCAACCTGTGCTGAATCAGAAAACTGCAGTTTGTGTTATAGCTAATGCATGTGGGAAGACTGCATATGCTACTTCAGGTGTGTTAGAAAGAGAATATGCGCATGCGGATCTCTATAGATGCCGACGGCGAATGTTCTCCACTTCAAGAGCAATTACAGCCGATCGATGTCAAACAGGCACCATTAGAGTGAGACAAAGCGACTGCGGTCCTACCATCGTGTACCTGATTGCTCATTTCGGACCCGGGAAACCGTTAGAATACAATGAGATTGCCGTGAAACAATTAAGATCAAGCACGGACAGGCATTACGTAACTGGATTGTCGAGTGATAAGTTAGATAATCGAGTGAGAAAGCTTGGAGAGTGTCTCAACTATTTGTTTACACAGCTCAGTGATATGAACATTAATGAAATTTTATTCCCCGTTGAAGAAGAAGGAGGTAGCTGGAGTCAATCATATGTTGATTCCATCCAAAATTTTGCGGCTCGCTGTATGCCTCTAAAAATTCCTGTTGTGCTATTAAATCACAAATCACGTGTTCAGCCAGGACCCGTATCTGTTCTACCAAGGATGAAGAGGATGGCGGCGAAGGTGGGGACGAAGATGATGATGATGACGACGCTGGATTCGTTCGCAGGAAGAGATGTGCACCTGTAGATGCGGGGACGACGACGACGAAGCGTCAGAAGGCTGAAGAAGATGGTCGATAATATATATATGTATTTTTTTTTCTCCATTGCCTGTAATGTCATGTCTTGTTACATTTTTTTGTCATTAATAAAACCAAGTTGAATGCAATACCGCTTTTTTTTAACATCTACACCTTACTTATATAAATGAACGATGTGCAAAGGAGCTCACAGTCTGATCTTGACCACCGTCATGGAGGCAGATAACCAATACATATACATTACGAGCAATGCTTCGAAACATGTGTTTCCGCATAATACCTCACACGCATTTGAAAATGTTATATCTCCGTTAATGTTAGATCCTTCTTTGGAATATGAGGTTTCGCTGATTAATTTCTTGCACCCTAAAAACTATTACAGCATCAGGGCAAATGATGTCGATTTTGCTATTCAATTTGTTTATACATGTGATAAAGAACCGCATGCGGTCGAACATAACATTTTTAAATATGTTCCAAAATTTAACATGTTAGGACAGATGAAAGGTGAGCAAGCAATGCTTGCTTTGATAAATGATGATATATTTAACCAGATGAAGGAGATGCTTGGTATGGATGCTGTTAAGAAATATATGCCAAATGGAAGGTTGTTTGTCTATGATTTGGACATTGATCGGTGTCGACTAGAAACGACATATCACACAGAGGGAGGGAGCACAGACGCGCGCTGCTACCCCGACGTGGGAATTCGTTTTTCGCGTCGCATGGCCCACATGCTGGGATTTGACGAAAGTGGGCTTTATCGTTATTATGTCCCATATCCAACGTCTGGACAGGAAAAATGGAATTCGTACAATGACAATATAAGCACGAGATCGCCGAGAACAGACGGAGGTGTGGATTTCATTTATATATATTCGGATATTGTTGTTCCTTCCCGATTTGCCGGGCAGCAGGTAAATATTCTTGATGCTTTTGCTTGGCAGGGATTGAGCGCGAAGGGGAGTACACCTGTAATCTATAAACAACTTTTAAACAAGAACGTACATTCTGTGGGGGTGCGCATTGCAGATCAGAACGGGTATCCTTTAATTTTCGAGGAAGGTCATTCTGTAACGCTTATATTGCACATTAGACCTCGCTAGGCCGTGCATATATAAACGCTGAACGTTCGCATTTTTGCTTATTCTACAACGGAACGCCGTTCCGTCCTGGTTGATTATAAGATAAAGAGAGAACAGTACTCATTATGTATGTTAGAACACCTTTTGTCCCTCCGACTGCAGCCGAGTTTAGAACGATTTTTGAACGCCAAGATGTATTGCTTAAACCCGCACGAGGAGGGGCTTTAGGAGATATTGGCATATATAACACATATGATCATTATCGACGAGGAGCGGGATTGTTTTCCTTTCTGGGCAATATAGGCAAGAGGTTAATTCCCTTTGTTTCTAAACTTGTTAAGCCTGCGCTCCTTGATTTTGGATCGGGCGTTATTGACGATCTGAGAGAGGGAAAGACCAGTCTAAAGTCTTCTATGAAAAGAAGAGGTGTGGAGGCTATCAAGCAGGTCGGAGCTAGAGCGATGAGAGGGGGAGGAAGGAGAGTGCACAGAAAAAGAGTTAAGAGATTAAAGATCCGACCGAGTTGTTCGAACTATAAAAATGATGTCTTTTCTCTGGCATAGTCAGTTATAATCCAGCCTTGTTGCCGTGCGCAATAATACTGAACGAGAAAGACGTCGATACCATAGAAAAAAAACAATGAATCAGTATAAGACACCGCTCTCATCTTACGTTGCCGGGGTGAGCGACATGTTTCCCCGTGCAAATAGAATTCGCATGATAGAATCCGGGATAGAGGAACGTTCTGAAGTAGACGTATTGCCATTTAATGCCGGGATAAACGGGTCAATTACTGATAATTATGCTGAATTTAGGTGGCCGGCAGGTCAAAATTGTTACGTAGACCTGTCTAGAGTGGTGTTAGAAATTAAGGGAGGACTTAAAAAGGCGGATGGGACGTCGTTGGGCAATGACGATCATGCGGAATTATGTAATTCTGCTATGCACTCTCTCATTAAGTCTGTATCTGTGTACTTTAACGGGCAGCAGGTTGAACAAAATCCTTTATATAATTTTTCATCCTATGTGCGTTTAGTAACGGGTATGTCGCTGTCGCTGAAAGAAACTCTGGGGAGAAATATGCAATATTACGAGCCTTCTCTTATACCGCAAAACTTTGCAGACAGTTATTTCGAAGGTGCCGCCGACCACGAGAAAAATATTGGGAACGGTGTAAAAGCTCATGGATTTCATTTTATGGCTCCATTATTGATGGATGTGGCAACAATGGATATGTATCTTTTGGATAATGTATCAATGAGAATACGTCTCGAGTTTGCTGCCGACAAATTTGTTGTCAACACAACACCTGGAACTTCGGCACATAATCCGGTGGTGAACATTGATACCTGCAAGCTTCATCTTACTACGTTGAAACCTAGAGATTCTGCAAGAGAGGCACTCGGTAGATCTTTGCAACACAGTCCTCTCAGTTATGTGTTTAATAAGACCCTCTACAAGACATATGTCATGGCAAGTCGGCAGACACAGCTTGCTATTGACATGCCGTGGGGCTCGACCATTCCTGAAAAATTGTTTTTGTTTATGGTCGACATGAGAGCTTACGCAGGGGACTATACAATGAATCCTCTGCATTTCGGGCATAATCATCTGAGCAAACTCTTTGTCACCGTTAATAACACCTCTGTGTACAATATAACCACGAATTTCCCCTCGCAATGTTCAGACTTGTATTATCATTCGCTGAATGCACTGGGCCTAGAAAAGTCTCATTCGCTCGATCGAAATGGATTTGTAAACGGCAAAATGATTGCTGTTATGGATTTGCAGCCTGAAAAACTGCAGGATGCCATAGCCATTGAAAATTCTGGAAGTCTCAGGATTGGAGTTGAGTTGGCACAACCTCACGATTCGAATATTGTTTTATTCCTTGTCGGAGATACACAAGGTGTAATTTATATCGATAACGAGCGCAGAGTGGTTACAGATATCAGAGCATAATGAACTGTTATGAGGTAAATAATATCTGTTCGCAGTTTCTTAGGAGCGGGTATGTTTTACGAGGGTGTTTTTTAGCAGATCAATTACCGGTAAGAAAGAAAAGAGATAGTTATAATGAGTTTTTTGTGGTTAACATTCTTACATCTCGCCACAGACCGTCAATAATGGGGCATTATGTTTTGATTATTAATGGAAAATCTTGCATTGCATATTTTGATTCTTATGGAGTTCTACCTCGCATCTATTCTCCGTGGGTGCAAGCATTTATCGAACAGTATTCCGAAAAGAGATTTTTTAACATTAGTAGAACAATACAAAGCCTTGATAGTTTAACCTGTGGTGCGTATGTTATTTTTGTTATGTATAACATTAATTTACACGGGATGGAAAACATTAGACAGATATTATGCAGATATTTTTCAGCAAATGACTTTAGATACAATGATAAGAAGGTTATACGGTTTTTATATAAACATTTTGAAATGCCCAGGTGCGAAAGATTATTTTGCGACCGAATGTTAAGTATGTCAGAATGTAGGAAATTATACTGTGGTGGTATGGGTTTGTAGGGGGTAGGTGTTTGTAATTTTCCTGTGCCTTTGACCGCGCTGGTTGGCCGACACAATTGGAGGAGGGGCGGTCCTGGCGTGTAAGTACCCGGTTTTCAAACCTGAGAGGACACAGTGCTTGGAAGAGGCGGCTAGAATGTAGGAAATTATACTGTGGTGCTATGGGTTTGTAATTTTCCTGTGCCTTTAACTGCGCTGGTTGGTCAACACAATTGGAGGAGGGGCGAACCTGGTGTATAAGTACCCGGTTTTCAAACCGGAGAAGATACAGTGCTTGGAAGAAGCATACACCATCAGCATGGAATCTTATAACAACGAACTTTTGTGTTTCGGTAAGAATATTTTCCAAGTTTTTTGTTATTGTTGTTGTGGTCTCTGTGTTTGCACCTCATATGGCTTTAACTGTTGATATTTTGTGTTTGTATGATTTACAAAAATGCGATGATATACAAAAACCTTAAAGCCTCTCTTTCTGTATTTTTTCAGGTTTCAACCTTGGTAAGTTATGAACTCCATATCTGAACCGCAGTGTTATAATTAAACATGTGGGGCGTTGTACCTCATAAGTCTTTAACTGGTTAATATTATGGCGATGTTTGTAGAAATGTGTTGATATACAACTTTATTCTAAGATATTTGTATATGCAAAACTTTAAGACCTCTCTTTTTTGTATTTCAGTTTCCAACCTTGGTAAGTATTTTTTGTTATGAATTCTAGTGTGTGTGTGTGTGTGTGTGTGTGTGTGTGTGTGTGTGTGTGTGTGTGTGTGTGTGTGTGTGTGTGTGTGTGTGCGTGTGTGTGTGTGTGTGTGTGTGCGTGTGTGTGTGTGTGCGTGTGTGTGTGTGTGTGTGTGTGTGTGTGTGTGTGTGTGTGTGTGTGTGTGCGTGTGTGTGTGTGTGTGTGTGTGCGTGTGTGTGTGTGTGTGTGTGTGCGTGTGTGTGTGTGTGCGTGTGTGTGTGTGTGTGTGTGTGTGTGTGTGTGTGTGTGTGTGTGTGTGTGTGTGTGTGTGTTGTGTTTTTTCATTGATATAAATGAATATATATATATATATATCTTTAGTTATGTCGAATATATATGCAGATGTGTAATTGTATTGATTTTATATTACAGCGAAGTCGGTGAATATGACTCCCAAGGTCTATTTTGTGTTAAACCACAACAAACGCAGTTGTGAAGCTGTTAAGAGTGAGTATATTGTTATTATTTTTTTAGTTAAAGACTTGTGTGTGTGTGTGTGTGTGTGTGTGTGTGTGTGTGTGTGTGTGTGTGTGTGTGTGTGTGTGTGTGTGTGTGTGTTATTTGCAGTTGTGATTACTCTTTTGGAATCTGATTGATTGTATATGTATTGCAGATCTAGGAAATGACGGTGAGATGTCCGTATATATAATAGGAGGAACAGAGGTGCAACCCTCCAAGAAAAGAAGGTTGCCAACAACTGCTGAAGCCAACACAACAGTGGATATTCGCTCCCCGAATCCGTGTGTAAGCAAAGAAGGGGAGACTACGATACTGTATGAGGATTTACTAAAGGAAAACGAGGGAGGTCCCTCGAACCCATTGAATAATGCGCATTTGCTTAGCCCTCGATCGCCTGCGTATAATCCTGCGATTGAGGTCAAAGGGTTGAGCAGTTCATCTGGCATAGTTCGTGCGTCGACCCCGTTGGCTTCTCCAATTAATTGCAGAGATAACCCGCAGGAGACTGCAGAGGAATCGGAGAAGGACGCTGCCGATGATGAGCAAGCGATTGCCCCCGCGGACAGCGGATGCGCTATTACACCTGTTAAGCGCAACAGGAGGAGAAGACTGAAACTTAATAAAAAACCAGGAATCTTGAGTCAAAATATGCCTCCAAATAATCAGATATCAGAGGCAATTGATGTAGATTTTTGGTTATCACCGTAATAAAACTAATGAATACCTGTTTTAGTTTTTATGATCCTTTGATTGAGAGGAAAATGTATTACCACTGTGTGTAGGATTTCACCAATTTCCTATGATTATCATAATGTTACCCAAGTAGAAGACTGTGTCCTTAAGCTCATATAAATGTAACCGGAAGTCCTGGGGGGTGGAGGGGGGGGGGGGGGGGGGTTCTAACCGTTTTTTAGATGGTCCGTCCTGTCCTAGTTTAATTTGGGTGGTCAGCCTGTCCTACTTCAATTTGGGCTGTCATTTTGTTCGAGTTACCACTATCACATCCCTGCAGAACTTTTTGTTTTTAACTGTTGTAACATGTTGTGGGTTGCATCAGGTCACGTAAGTACGTTACACGACCGGAAGTCGGGGGGGGGGGGGGGGGGGTTTCTAACCGTTTCTTAGATGGTCCGCCCTGTCCTAGTTTAATTTGGGTGGTCAGCGTGTCCGAGTTACCACTACTTCTTCGTTTGCTTGTAAATTTAAAAGCCACTCAAAAACTTTAAAACTTTTAATATTTTAATCTATACGTTTTTGTGTATGCACACACACACACACACACACAGACATATATATATATATATATATATATATATATATATATATATATATATATACATATATATATATATATATATATATATACATATATATATACATATATATGTATATATATATATATATATATATATATATATATATATATATATATATATATATATACATATACATATATACATATTTATATATATATATATGAATATATATATATATATATATATATATATATATATATATATTTACATATATGTATATATTTATATATACATATACTGGAGTGGTTCTTAACATTTTAACTACCACGCCCCCCCTTTAGGAATTTGCCTTTCCCTCCACGCCTCCCTTACATCTGTAAATAAAATTCCCTCTCAGAAAGTGTTTTGTTAGTCTCCTTAATGAGTATGAATTAGTGGCATTACAATTAAACTTCCCATTATGTGACAATGTCATCGTTAAGAGAATAACAAATAGATTAGAGAAATTACTGCCTTTTTCCACGGGCTAGCGTCCCCTTTGGGAAATTCTGAAGCTCCCCAGGGTCAGAACCACTGATATACTGGCTTGACCATTATCTCGCCATACCTCCGTATGGATACATTCTGTGATCCAAAACATTTTTATTGATGATGACTGTAAAAGTCTTAATACCGTGCAACATCATGAACAATTCAGACTCAACTATATACTTCATTAGCAGTGAATGAGGAACTCTGCATAAGCGCAACTTATTTCGCACATTACCATTAGAAAGGTTATTGCCCTCGTGCAGTGATGATGACCACTCCAGAAATATTAATGCACGTTGAACGTCGTTTAGAATAAGTATGTTGAAAATCCGTATGAAAATTCCCGGGAAGATTTCCGTCTGTGGTCACGAAGCTGATCACCGCTTTTCGGCCCAACAGTAAACCGTATGAGACACACCAGGGCAGCCTTTAGGTATGCTCTTAGATCTTGCAAGGTAAGTGAGTCCAGGCTATGGGTTGAAGCCTTGACTTGGAAGATGGTGAGTGAAGACATGGTATCTTTTTGTAGGGAGGTCTCTTGCACCTGAGCGAATAGACGAGGGAGTGGGAGAAAGTGAAATCGCCTCTATGTGGCAGCGCGTTTTTTTTTTTTTTTTTTTTTTTTTTTTTTTTTTTTTTTTTTTTTTTTTTTGATTCGCGAAGCAGAGCCTCGCCCGGGCTATGCCTATTTGGGGAGCCCGGTTCTTGGCAGCGCGTTATTGAATGAGGCTAATGGCAGGGTAGCTGAAGCCTAGTACGTAGCACACGTTATCAAATTTACCAAAGGCTCGTATGATTCCGGTGACCATTATCTGGGTTACAAGATGCCGTTAAGAGTTTACCACTGAACAAGGCTTTCGAAAAACATGCTTCACCAAATGAATTCCTAAGATTTGCATCTCTGAAGATATCTCGCTGTTTTATAAAGAGCAGGCCCATTGCATTTACTGTGGCAGCTTCACTCTGAACTTGATGCCAAACTATTTGCATTCATCTGATCAACAAGACTCTACACAGACACCTGCATTATTGCCCTTAAAAAAAAGTTATTATCGTGAATTAAACTCCATATTTTTTCTGCCCACTGGATTTTTAAAAAGTATATTATGGGGTAAAATTACTCTGTAAACTGTGAAGCCACCTAATCCCTCTCTGTATAGGACAGATACTTTTCATTTACCAGGCAGTTGTTCAGGGTCAGATGGTGTGTTTGTACGACCGCGGCAGAGTCTTCCAGCATGAACCGTGGCATAAGACAGCAGTCAGTATCGTGCCCTTACTTATTTATATCGAAGGCCTAAACATTCAGCTGCGGTTCTTCTAATTGATTCCGCAATCAAGGGGCTGTTGAGTATTCATGAACATTTGTGTTTAATACTACGAAATCTGTCAGCATTAGCATCCTCCCCAACATTTTAAGG